ACTCGCATTGGGTGGGCATACCATCCTTTCAATAGCCCAATAAAGTGCCTTCATTCTGCAATCCCTTGATGCTTCAACCAACCTAACCAGGCCAGTCCAAAGCGTAGCCAACGACGGGCGAAGGCTTCGACAGCAGCGGCCAGAAAGCAAGTGGGTCCTGGCAGTTGCGTGAGACTGTGCCAAATACAGTCCCAGCCCTCGTGCTGGCACTGCGTCAAACGGCCAATCCGAAGCTCTCTCCTACTGAAGGTAAACCCAACGAATCTGCGACATGGCACGGGCTGTGTCCACCAGTCCGCTCGGCCAGGAGACACCAGACCTTCAGCGCAGTTTTGGACCAAGGTGGAGTTGACCCCCAAAGTTGCCGACTTGAAAATGTCCTGAAATGAGGCTCGACCCCGAAGAAATTCTAGGCATGAGGTGCCCAGGCCCCGTGATGTTTCTAGTCCCCAATGGAAGCCATGGCTTGGAGGAAGATCCATCAAAAGGGGCCCCGCCTTGACCCGACAAATAGCACGATGGTGGAAAATGGTAGTGGTAACGTCCACTTACATCCACGTGCCCGCCGCAGTCGTCGAAGTGCCTTTCGGGTGGCGTCGGTTGTTGCAGAAGCACAAAGACGGCATCATGGAGTCAACGATTCACTGGTCACCTGACCATGAATGTATACTCATCGCCTAAATACTGAGAGCGAGACCATGAAGTTGGCATTGCATGGCCACGTTCGTGATGGGCTCCAATCAACAAAACCCCATTCAGTGCCTTGGGACTTCAACTTGATCGAACAAGCATACTTGCTGACAGCACTAGTCACTAGCATACCTCCGCGAAGTGGGTTGCTTCCAGATGCTTTAGTTTCTGCATCGTTCGTTGCCAAATGTGTACGAGTATGGTCCATGCTGTGCACAAGGCGTTATAACAAAGCAAAATGGGGCCTGCCGCAGCTGGAGAGGCCAACAACGGGAAACCACACACAGGTGGAAGGCAACTAATTCATATAGTCGCACATCAGACCGTAGCGAGACAGTGCACAAAAATTGATTTATTTTCGTATGTAACTTACGAGACGGGGCAGTTCGTGCAGCAGGATTGGACGAAGTTGAGGACAAACGTATCAGGATTTGGCAAAAGCCCAGAAGCAAATCCGACGATTCCGGATGTGTTCGCCAGAGGGTGCGGGGAACTCCCTGCCCAGACCTCGGCTATGTGGCTGAAATCTCCGAGATTCGATTCGACAACTCGGGCATTCAGTGTACCAGCAAACTCTCCCGCAACATACCAGGCAACTTTGCTGGTAAAGACGAAATTGCAAAGCAAAGTGTCGATTCTGGTTACTTTCTCAGAAGAGTCTCTTTGCCGGTGCTTTCCAAGCCAAGAACAACCAATAAAATCAATGCAGGAGTCTGCTTCCTTCGATGCCACGTGCGGGGATCGTAACGGCACTGATAACTCACCTTGCAGACTTTGGGCGGCTGGAGCTTATGATCTGCAAGACAGGGGCGGTCACACTGCTGCGCTTCAACCTTTGAACTTCGACTACCGCAACCGGAAGATATCGATCCTCAATCTTGTCCTGGACGAAGACAACAAACAAACCTTGAGATCTGTGGTAATGACAGCACATGTTATGTTGTTTGTGGCCGAAAGGCGCTTTCGCGGCGCCTTGGGCGACTTCACACCAGTGACGTTGCTTGTCTCCTGTCTCAGCCGATGGCCGCGAAGTGCCAAAAAGCACGACTCATGCTGAAGAGGTCATCAGCCTCCTCCAGCCGCCTGGCCGAGCAGCTCATGGTAAACTGCCGGAGTTCCTTCAGGGCCAAAGTTTCCGAACAACTTTCCGAAGCTACAAGACACTACGAACTTGGCCTCGAACCCTTGATCGGAGGTTCTAAAGCAATGCACGGGCTTCCGTCCAACTGCTGGCACGAGCCCTAAACACAATGGGACTGAGGGTCAAAATTCAGGATCCTTCTGTAGCTAACGAGGCAGGGATCTGCCAGGGAAGAAGCAATCCGAGCAAAGCTGCCAAATAGCCTTTTCCCGAACCAAACTGGAACAACAAAATAGAGGACTTTGCAATGTAACTTGCACTTCATGGTGGCGCGGCGTCCTGAACCATGCTCATCAAAGCTTCACCTTGGACATTCACATCCGCCAAATGTCGGACACGATGCGTGTGATGTCCTGGCTTAGCAAAGGTGCCCTCTGCATCCTGGATCCTCTTGTTGTACACGTTGTAATGATCCTCACCACTGAAACTTGACATGGCTGCTAACAGAACCACTTCTCCACTCTTGGCTTGCAATTTGCAGGGTGCGCCTTCAAACACGGACCGTGCGACCGCCATTTTTTCCAAAGCTTTGCATGTTACATCAGACCACAAGCTTGAAAGACATGGAGCACAATGCTCAGGCAATCCAAGATTCAAGGAAGGCTTTGTCCTCTAGACTTCCTGCATTGCGTGAGAGCTTCAATGTCAAGTCCGAGCGCCAACTAGTGTGACTGATGCCAGCAAAGCGGTGCCACACTGCCTTCATCTCTTTTGCACCGAATCCTGTTCACCTGCACATCGGAATCATCAAGAGGCTGCTTCGTCATGATCGTAAAGCAACAGGCCCAATATTAATTTGTTGAGAAAATTCGAACCGGGGCAACAGCACTGCTGCCAGATGCATCTCGAGGTATGAAACACCCGTCACGAGGACGGTGAGGCTACACGAGCACGAGCTTCTGCATGTTTGTCGGATGCCATCGTGCCATTACAGATCGACAAGGACTGCCACAGTGCTGAACTTTTGCTATGCAACACACAAAGGCATGTCCATGCTTCAGCTACTCACCATGCAAGTCACTTTGAGTAAATAGTTAGGCCCTGCCCTGCGGCAACAACTCGAAGCTGACTATTGCTCAAGGCACGCCCCGGGATCCCAAACAACTCAAAAGATCGTTGTGCCAATTCTTGGCATGGCGCAGGGAGTGGGATCGTCTCGTCATCGGCGCACCAGTGGTATATATTCAACGGATCTAGCTGCGCCTGGAACTGCTGAAGGCTCAGTGGGTCCAGAAAACTTCGATACTTGGACTCCTTCAATCCGTCCTGTGAACCAGCTTCGTACTCAGCTCCACAGGCTTCCGTTCTGTCCAGCCCCAAGGCCCCAACGTCGTGAATATGTTCATAACTTTTCATCCCGAAACTTGTCAGCTGGTACATACTAGGCAGCTCCTGCATCGCCAAGTAGCATTGGAGACGACAAACGTGTCGAGGTACTCGATGAGCTCGGGGATCTGCCGAATTCCGAATACCTGAACTTCTGAATCGTCGAGATGCTCTCTCCAACCATAGCGAACAGCCTATAGTAAAATGATCAGCGTGTTAGCGACCGGCCACGGAAGCATTGCCAACATCTGCAACATACATGTCACTGAAGCTCAGCTGAAAATTCAGGATTGAACTTCTTGCCCATGTCCCTGGGCAGCTGCTAAGACTAAGATTGCTAGTTGCGGATTTCGCCTTTGGTTGACCGCCGAATTCCGAGGCCAGGAACAGTCTCCAAGTGGAAATGGTCCGCCAAGCGCAAGTGAATGCCGGAGAAGTTCGTCGGATCGTATTCTACCCTGCAGTCTCTGACATTCCATGGTGCCCCTACTGCGCTCAACTATGACATGGTATCCATCTGCGGACAAGGATCTGCTGGATCGCAATGAATAAGCAGAAGCATACCTAGCACGACATCGTCCAAGCCATATGCTGACAACCATTTGCTCCAAATGCCGCCGAGACGCGACAAAAAAGAAGAAGCGGGGGAGCATCTCCAACATCTTGAACTCCAACCTAAGTATCCCCACGCACGGCTCTAGGCAGTGCTCAGGGAGACTGAAGTAAGGTCGCGGCCCAATGCGCTTTCGAAGAACTTCCCTGCAAGCAGTGGTGCCATGACCGGGTGCTCGTGTACCGACGGCAGAATGAAAGCTGGAGACACATTCTGCAACATCGGCCTGTCCAGGCCACTTTCCACACAGCTGAAGTACGCGGACTCTGAAGTGAATACCCTGGCAACACCTGAGCAAGCAAATATGCGCTGAGGCTAGTCATCACAACACACATCACAACGAATCAAGCCAAGCCCACGCAATGAAGCGCAAGCAAAGTAGGTGCCCCAACTATGAGCTGAAGAGCCGTTCTGGGTGACGACGCTGCCAACCACCTCAAAACATCGCTGGATGAACAGAATTGTTAGGGACAACCTGAGAGGACAGGCGTGCCTAAACTTACATCCATTCCTGCGCTTCGCCCCACAACGTCACCGGCATCACACAGTCTCTTGGCTGGGCCAACTTGCACCCAAGATGCATCCGCGAAGGATGATCTTCCGGGAGGACTTCCGATCCTCTGACGCATGCAAATTCGCCGTGACATCAGGTTTCTAAGAAACAAGCCCGCATCGAGCCTCGTCGACACGCCAAAACCAGAGGATCTCCCATCATCTCCGGCTCCAACCATTTCATGCCTAGCCGACAGCTCAAGCACCCACTTCCCAATTGCATAAGTCTGGCTTCAACCGCACCGACAGTGCTGCTGCTCAGTCAGACAAGTCAAAGCTGTCTGTCACAACATTCCCTAGCCATTGGACTTGCGCGCGATGCCCCTAACAAGATTCAAAAGAAAGGAAGTCATGCCCAGCAGCTGTTTGTCACACGTCGGCAGTGGGCCCCGCAGCAAGGCCATATTCACACAGCTGGCTGATGCAACCGGTCTCTCTCTCTCTCTCTCTCTCATGTAAAAGATTGGAGAGGTGTCGAAGCCCGTGCTTCCGTGCGAACGAAATAGGGATGCCATAAACCCACATCTTCCATGCTACTTGCATCCAATGCTGACATCCGCCAGTTTGATGGCGAGCAGGGGGCAAAGCGACAACAGGACATCCTGATTCTCCCTGCAGATCCGGGTCGGATAGCTGATCCTAACTCAACTTGTTACACTTCCCCCCGAGTGCACGGGCATTGTGTCCACAGTCTTGCAGTCTTCAAGCAGTGCCTGCGGCAGGGTACGACTGATTCGCGCTGCCTGCACATACATTAGGTTTGCTGTCGGCCATCCTGCTACGCCGGAGACTGGACGAACATTTCATGCCTGCGCCATGTCGTCATCGACAAGTAAACGCAGCCTGCCCGAACTGAGCAGCGGATAGTGTCGCAACGAGCGTCATGTTGCAGCAAAGGGGCTGCTTCGGCGTTGCTACACCCGCTGCCCAACAGCGCGTTGAGCCATGCAAATGAAGCAGCAGCCCACCGCAAACCTGCGATCGCTTTCATGAACTGAAGGAAAAGAAGGTGCCTGTCTAGCACACTGCAACATTTGCAGCCCAGTCACATGGTGGTGCGTGGCACTTGGGGCACCCGCGGCCACGGCGCAAGCTAGCGGAGTTCCTACCGGCGAAAGCCACGTTTTGCAGGAAGCAAAAAACACATCAAAGCATGAGAACCTTCCGTCAATGTCGACTGTCGATGCTCGTTGCCTCATGTTTTTTACGGCCGCCCCCCCCTCTTTCCATGACTCTCTTTGCTCCAGTTCTCGGCCCTGGCAAATGAGCAGCTGACACAAGACTTGTCGCAGCAGATCTGGCCTGTGTGCACACACGCGAAGTAACGGTAACGGTCCCGAACCATCCAAACAAGCTTAATTAGGCTGGCTAAGCCTCCGACTCCAAGTAAACCCGTCGCCGATGCAGAATCGGTGCAAGGATGTGCGCAGCCTGACCAGCTGAGCAGAAAGCAAGATCTTGGGAGACGTCTCAAGTGAAACAAACGTAGAACTTCCCCATCCGTCGTTCCGGTAGAGCTCAAAAAGCCATGTCCGCTTGACAGGTCACGGAGAGCCCCGAGAAATACAGCAGAGGTCTCCGGCCTCCGCATGTGGTCGCCATCGACATGGTGCCACCCCACCAGCAAGAAGTCCCTACAGCTAGTCGAAGTTTCGGAAAGCACAAGCCCGAGGTCAAGATACGCACATGCAACCGAACGTCGGAAGAGCAAAACCAAGCTCAGCAGTATGCACACTGCGAACACTGCATGCACCACACTGGATTCAACGGCACCCCGAGATACAATGTCCTTCGGAAGATGCTCGAAGAGGAAAACGCCCATCCGAGCCCAGGCAACCTCTCAGCGAAGTCTTGCCTAGACTTCGTGAACTTCGATCTACAAACCGCAGCTTCGTGCACCAAAGAGGCGCGCCGGCCATCACCAGGGACCGCATTGAATAGCCGGGCAACTGCCTGATTTCAGAAGAGAGCCGACTGTGATACCAACAGGCTCCAACTCTCCATGTGGACCTGCTTTACAACCATGTCGGTTGTCGACTGTTCTTAAGGAGTGAATATACATTTGTCTCTGCACACAGGGGAAATGTCGTGAGTGTTATGCCACTCCCCTTCCTTGCTGCATGGCATCTGACTCAAGACGTCTGCACGTTCCAGATCCGGCCTCGGAAACCTGGGTGACGGAGAGGACACACAAAAGCTGGGTAGAATGAACGAGTTCCAACAGCTTCCATTCTGGCGAGGCACTAAAGTAATCCTTTCTGGCTGTGTCTTGCCTTTCATTGTCTGCCAAAGGAGCAAGCCACGTTTCAGCTTGTCCTCCGGCACATGTTCCGCAAATCATCTGTCGATGTCTGACATTTGCAAACAGCTGAAGTCCTGGCTCCATGCGGCATCGACACCGTAAAATTCTTTGAGCTCTTGCCAATCCCTGTCGGCTTCCGAGACACGGTGAAATGTTGCACCTTGGCTGCTTTCTGCCGCTTTGACATCTCCACCATCTCAAGGACTCACAGTCGTCCGGATCACGGATGCTCATGCGAGCCGGGTCGCTGAGTAGCGGATGCCCTCCGCGACCTTCACATTGAGACGCCGGCGGAGCACGCGGACCTGCATGCCAATCTGCATGCCACTGTGACAACAATACAATTTACCCCGCGAACACATCATGTCGGACTTCTCGTGCAAAAGCATCACATGACACGTGGAATGAGCACCTTGGACAACATCGGAAGTCGCAGCGCCTTTTCTGAAAACCGCGACCTGATCATACAAACGAGAAGTACATCTGAACCCATCTGTTCTCTGTGTTTGCGCCAATTCTGGGGTGCATGCGAAGAAGCCACCAGTGTTGGAGTGGTGAGGGTAGAATCGAGCACACTTCGATAGTTCCTTCAACCCCATACATCTTGCCATGCTCCAGCAGAAACACAAGAAAGCCAGTCTGCTGCACAGCAACTAAGCCATTCAGCACTATCTTCCTAAATGCTGCCCGAACCTAGACTGGTCCAAAGCTTTTCCTCAATTGAGCATTCAGTCTGATGAAGTGCTCACTGGATCTATTGCCAGGCTCACACCGACCTGCTATCTGCTATGCCGCCTCAGGCTTTTTGAAATAGGCTTGCTGCCACCACGGCAGGCTGGAGCTCATGAACTCGATGTCCTTCAAGTCCTGTCGCACCGACACTTACATCTACATCCCATGAAAATGTCAAGTGTCTGGTGAAGACAAAACACATGCGCCACGAGAGATGCTCGGACTTGGTCCTTCTCCAGGTTGCCCAGGAGCTTCTCGGTCGGAATGCGGCCCGGGGATTTCGAATCGCCGCTAGCGAAAGGCTGGGCGATGCACACGGCCACCTCGAGAAGAGCTTGGTACAGAAAGGGTCCCACTGTGGCAAGAATCAAGGCGATTGCCAAGTCTTGCAGCGAGTGTGACACCTCGGCCGCATTCGCAGACTTGCTGGTGAAAGGGCTCATGCGGCTATTCGCAAGTACAGTGCTCAATGTCACTCCGGAAGTCATGCCGAAGCTGACTGCATTGATGATATTGTTGGCCAGGACAAGTGCCGCCATCATTTGAACATGGACATATGGCGGCTGAACTCGAACCGATGCACGCACTGTGCGGATTCCAGTGTAAGCTTGCTCCGCAATGGTGATGATGCGTCCATACGTGGGAGTGGCCATGGGCGGAATTTCTCCATCAGCAGCCATGCGAGTCAGGAGAGATGTGATCCACACCCAGAGAGTTTGCGCTGGATCTTCAAGGGATTCTAATATCTTCTTCTCAGCCGGCAACAGCTTGGCGACACTTTTAGTCTGATCCTTCCAGGCGACTCCACTTTCATCTTCACACATCAACTCGACCCACCGCTCCTTCAAGTATGCACGGCGATCTTCTGGAGACATAGCCGATGCAATCAGATCATGATCCAAGCAGTGCGCCGAGACGACGCAGTAGCGAAGACATAAGTGCACGCGGTCACGGGGAACACCGACGGCATTGAGTTGCATGTGCAAGCCGCGGATTGCATCAAAGAGCTCCAGGAAGCCGTTGGTGCCTGAGCTTCTGAAACTCCCAGCAGAGCTTCTAATTATGGTTTAAGGATTACCTGCGGGCCGTAGCTTCAGACCCCACACAATACCAGGTAATCATCCTCAGTTTTTGGGTATAAAATCTTGAGTCAAGAAAACGGGTGCCATTGGAGCGACGGGTTGCAATTGTACCATCTTTGAACCGAGCTTGAAAGGAAGAAACCGAGGAGAAGACCCACGACAACTTCCAAGAAGGAGCTAATGCGAGAAAACTTGCCCACGTTGAGCTTTGCAGGGTCTTTGGTGAAAACGACCACAATCGAGGCAGTCGTCAAAGCAATCATCAAAAGGATGCCCATCATCTTCCACAACGAGGGTTTGGTCCACACCGTCCCGCTGAAGTTGCGGAAGACTGAAAATGTCACCAGCTGGCGTGCATCATAACTCATGGAATCGAAGGCCTCCTCGTTCTCCTGCATCACCCAAACAACAGGAACGCATACATACATACATACATACATACATACATACATACATACATACATACATACACACATACATACATACACATACACATACACATGCACATACACATGCACATACATAATCATATGTACAGACCTATACATGTACAGGCACATATACATATACACAAACCCATATCCACATCCATACCCGTATCCATATCAAT